TTGTTTTTATTGCAAGTATATATTCTATCCTTTAAATACAACCACCTCTCATATCGCTTGCCGTCCCACCGCGAGGGGCGATTCTCCTGTAATAACGCTTTCCATGAGAATGTAAGTTCCGGGCCAGTTTCTCGAAGAAATGGCTAACATATTTTCGTGTGGTGGAAATGTGATAGCATAAAAGACCTTTTCTCGCCACACGATTGCTTACATTATGATACCCGTTTTATGATCTCATACTGGCAGCGTTACTTTCACAGGTGGTAATTGTGGAATAAGGAATTATGGAGACGCAGGTCGAGTTATCAATGGTAAGACTGCTGTCAGGAACAGTTGGCCATGGCAGGCTCGGATGACACTTCGAGGGGCTCACAAGTGTGGGGGCTCCCTTGTGGCGCCTGGCTGGGTACTCACGGCTGCACACTGTGTTGGAGGGAGTTCTTATAATCCAGGCTATCGCATTACCCTAGGTACGTTAGTTCTTTAGGTGTTGAGAGAACTTTGGACCGTCGCCCTTGTCCCTTCTAGTCATTTAAAACCGCGAAATAAGAAAACGTTGCTGTCAAACAATAATTAAGAATTCGGGAATATTTTGCTAAGTAAAACACCACGACACATATCTTTGGCCGCGTATGAAAAAAGTAAAGCGCATTTCGTTTCAGGATGCATTTTTTTTCTGCGAGCAATGAAATTCTCAAGTCGTTGACAACTAATTATTATCTCCTTATCTATTTATATTTACTCAGTTATTCAGGCATGTTTGAGCCCCTTGTGTAGCTCAAAGTAATAATCATTTTATGTTTAGTTGTCAGTAGGAGTATCTTACAGAACCTGCTTTAGTTTGTATTTCATGGACGACTCGAATCATTTCCTTTTGAAGGAAAATACTTTATACCACCTCTTGAAAATTGAAAAATATGTTGTGAATCGTGTTGGCGTTCTCTTGAATGGCTCATTTTTACCTTAAGGTGAGCACGATGTTCGAAGGAACGAAGGCACCGAACAGTTTTTCTCAGTAAAAAGGGTGATTGTGCATCCATATTATCAACGAGCTACGATCAATAATGACATCGGTAAGTGTCGAAGCCATTTATTTCATATGCTCTTTGAATGAATCTGTTTATAAAGTACTCGGCTACAGAAATGCTAGCCTAAGTTAGCTGCTTTTCATCGTACTTGTATGTGTAATCAGAGGGTAGGAGAAAACGCAAGTGAAATTATTCCCTAATTTAACGAGAATACCATTTGAGACGATTTTCTGCCAATATTTTACCAATGGTCCCTCCCCACCCTGCCCCTTAAGCTATTTTCATACAATACCAGATAGCAAAATGCCAATATTTTACCAATGGTCCCTCCCCACCCTGCCCCTTAAGCTATTTTCATACAATACCAGATAGCAGTTTCCGTGCTGACGCGAAAAGCTAGCTATCAGGTATAGATCGGCGCGGCGCGGCGCTGCGCGGCTTCGCTCCGTTACAGAAATCGCACCGAAATCACCCGTTCTTGTCTCCGAACAGAAGCCCCGTATCCGATACCGTGTGAACGTAACTAAGCTAATTATTCCAGGCTTTTGCAAACATGATTGACATTTTCTGCGAACAAACACAAAGTTAGTCGAAAGATGTGGACAAAATTGGGTTTAGAGCTTGGAGCGAAAGGTGTTGCAGTTGGTTTGGGAAATTTTAGACATGGATATTTGGTCCGCTTTCTCTCTCGATCTCTAGTCTCAAGTCATACCGTTTTTTTGCTTTCATAGTTGCAAAGAAGGCTTCTTCTGAAATTTCACTTAAACTCAACCTTTGCTCTTTTCTAAAGCTCTTTTGGAGTTGGATCGTCCAGCAACTTTGAACAAGGCTGTGGCACTAGTTTGTCTCCCAAAGCAGGGTCGAAGTGTTCCAGCAGGAACATATTGCTCAATAACTGGTAAGCAGCCCCCCTAGTCTTATCATAATCTCAGTGGCGACTATCTCCCTTATGTAAGCTATATACTTGAGTTCGCTGCCATAGGGCAAGGTTTTTAAGCCCATTTGGTCCGGAATTTGGTATAGCTTTTATCCATTTGGGTCTGAAATGGCTACGGTTTTGTACTTCCTGAAAGCAGGGTCTGTAATTGAGTAAGTTGTTTGATTGTTAGTGTCTTGGGAAGAGCTGTTGAGGCCTGATGTGGAATAATGAAATTTACATATTTTGGTTTGAAGTAGGCTCCAGGATTATCGCCTTCCACTTTCTCGACTCCAGAGCTCTCCTCTATTGCGCAATAGAGAATAGCTCTGGGGTAGAGAATGTATCCCCCAAGCCAGTACCCACTGTAAATTCCTCAAGCATTCCCAATGGTGACTTTTTTCTTAAGGGTGGGGAAGGATGGGCTACAATCGTCCTGGAGCGTCAGTTCTTCAAGAAGCCAGCCTGCCAGTGGCACAACAGGACACTTGTAGGAATCATATGAGGTACTGGGGAACTGTGACAAGTAAAATGGTATGTGTCAGCCGAACTATTGTAATAAATTGTTATTGTTATGTTAAAGGTGAAATGATTATGCGGCAGACTAACGCCAGTTATCGAGTATTAGGAAGTTAAAGAAATATTAAGAAAGTTCCATCGGTTTTTGTTTGTGTTTCAGATATGCGGCGGTTTTGGTGGCTCTAGTACAGTAAGTGGTTGTTTCGGTGATTCAGGAGGACCTTTCGTTTGTGGAAAAAATGGAAAATATGAGTTACATGGTGTCGTTAGTTGGGGGACTCGAACGTGCAGCGCTGGTCGCAACCAATACACTGTATTTGCACGAGTTAGTGAATTCGAATCCTGGATAAGGACGTACATTGGAAAAGGACCAGCTACAGCTCCTCCCCAGACTCCTCCGCCCCCTCAGACACCACCTCCTCCTCAGACTCCTCCTCCTCCGCAAACTCCACCTCCTCCCCAGACTCCTCCGCCTCCGCAAACTCCACCTCTTCCCCAGACTCCTCCGCCTCCGCAAACTCCACCTCCTCCCCAGACTCCTCCGCCTCCGCAAACTTCACCTCCTTCTCAGACTCCTCCGCCTTCTGAAACACCCTCTCCTCCTCAAACTATGCCCCCTCCTCATACTCCATCTGCACCAAATACATCGCCTCCTTCCCACACTTCGCCTTCATCACACACGCCGACTCAACCCCAAGGCTGTGCTATTTCCAGGGCTCTTGGCATGGAAGACTTTTCTATCAAGGACACTCAAATAACGGCATCAAAATCCTGGAATAGGTGAGTACCTTTGGGACAGACAGTTTTAAAAAAACTCAAGTGAAATAGTGCAAATGGGCTGTTTTAATGGCTTGATGTGATATCTCGTTTCAGGCGATCAACTCTCGTAAGCGAATGCAACCACTTTTTGGGGCGAGGGCCTCACGATTTTCTATACTGCATTTTTTTAATAAAAACCTGTTGTAAACGTATTACCCAGGTACCTATCTATGTTCGCTTCATAATGCTACGGTCCTCAGAGCTGCATAGGAGGCAGTGTCTCTTGGGCAGAGTAAGACTCAGTTTCATAGAATAGCAATGTTTGTCATGATTTTTAGATCTTTTTAAACTAATGGTAGCCCTTTTTTCGTCAGATTTCACGGCCCTGATCAGGCGCGCCTCAACCTTCCTGTTAGCAAAACTGGAGTAGGAGCCTGGTGTGTTGGAAGACGGCCATTGAGCAATCAGTATTTACAGGTTGACTTCTTAAAGAAAACTCTTATCACAGGAGTCGCAACTCAAGGTAATAACTGTCTTACCAGTTAACTGGCAGTGACACTGACCGAGAACCTCTTAAAAATCCGGCAAAACCATGTATGGAAGTAAATCCACGGTGACTTAGCAGTGGCGAATCCAGGGGAAGGGCCTGGGGAGACCGCTCTTCCCGCCTTATTTTTAGACCAAACTGAGGCCCGAAGTGCCTAAAATTTTTTTTTGTCTTTTCAATCTTTTGTATTACGTCATTTAGAGATCGCACCCGTCAGCAACACCAAGAAACTTTACACTGCTCTCTAGTGGATGCCGACGACAAATAGTTTGCTTGTGTTAACAATCGCTTCTTTTTTAATATTATGATCAGGACGAGTTAGCAAGTATCCGAAGTTTGTCAAGAAATACATGTTATCTTACAGCAATGACGGAAAAACTTGGACAACGCATCCTGAGGTATCACGTATTTTTCTGGTAGGTATATTCTGTAGACTCCCTCTTTAATGGAAGCAAAGGAAAGAAGCACAACCACAGAAAAAATTACGGGAACACCAGGAACGTGGACCAAAACTGAAGAAGAGCTGGCCTCTGCTTAATTTCGTTGGAGAGTTTGATTTCCAGTTGATAATAAAAATATAATATAATAATGATGATGATAATGACAATGATAGTGATAATAATGATAATAAATAATGATAATGGTAGCAATGATAATAATGATAATAAACATTTTTCTTCAAAAGATGCTTGATGGCAATACAGACATGTCAACAGTGAAGAGGAATAATCTGACTAAGGCAATAGTAGCCAGATATGTACGCATTCACCCAACTGCATGGCAAACTGATGTATGTCTTAGAGCTGAGTTTTATGGATGTCAAGGTAGGACGATACTTAGACACTTACAGCTCAGTGTCACTAGGATAACAACCAATAAGATCACATCTAAAGGCGAACATTTGCGGCGATCAGAAGAGAAATTGATTACAAGCCCCATAAAGAACTTATAATTCGATGAGCTTTACACGCGCCAGATGGCACACTGATGTTGCTGGTTGAACTATCGCAAACCTTTACCATACCTAGACATTTCTGCCTGGTCAGGTTCTGTGACATTATTCACAATAAAATGGTTTGGCGCCTTNTTACGGGAACACCAGGAACGTGGACCAAAACTGAAGAAGAGCTGGCCTCTGCTTAATTTCGTTGGAGAGTTTGATTTCCAGTTGATAATAAAAATATAATATAATAATGATGATGATAATGACAATGATAGGGATAATAATGATAATAAATAATTATAATGGTAGCAATGATGATAACGATAATAAATATTTTTCTTCAAAAGATGCTTGATGGCAATACAGACATGTCAACAGTGAAGAGGAATAATCTGACTAAGCCAATAGTAGCCAGATATGTACGTATTCACCCAACTGCATGGCAAACTGATGTATGTCTTAGAGCTGAGTTTTATGGATGTGAAGGTACGACGATACTTAGACACTTACAGCTCAGCATCACTAGGATAGCTACCGATAAGATCTAAAGGCGAACCTTTGCGGCGATCAGAAGAAAAATTGATTACAAGCCCCATGAAAAACTTATAGTTCGAAGACCTCCACAGGCGCCAGATGACACGCTGGTGTTGCTTGGTGAGCTAACGCAAACCTTTACCATACCAAGACATTTCTGCCTGGTCAGGTTCTGTGACACTATTCACAATAAAATGGTTTGGCGCTTTTAAGATATCCTAAACTCATTTAGTGACCAAATTAATCAGTTTTCCTTATATTATCACTTTGATAAAAAGCGCAAAAACTAGTAAAGGCTTGTCAAAAAGAGTCGGTAGACGAAAGCCCTTCCTTTAAATTTTGTTTGTATATTTTCATCATTTAGTGAAACCAACTATGCCACCAATAACATCAGAATCAACAACAACGAACGGAGTACCATCAACAAGCACAAAGGCGCCCACGACAACCAAGCCTCTTACAGTCACATCAGAGTCAACAACAACGAGAGGAGTACCACCAAGGAGCACTCGGGCACCCACGATAACCAAGACCCCTCCGGTCACATCAGAATCAACAACAACGAACGGAGTACCATCAACAAACACCAAGGCCCCCATGACAACCAAGCCTTCTACGTTCAAGCCACCAGTGACGACAGTCAAGCCTCGGCCACCAATCACCATTCCAGAAAAACCCACAGGTAAAGAAACTCTCATTGGGGGGACCTTTAGATTTGAATACGAGTGCGAGCTTTCAAACCCACTTAGTTCGTGTGCTTTAAATAATTAGTTTATCGCAGCAACTCTAAAATTTACGTCTCTTGGACAGCAACAGCAACATGCAGACGTAGACAGCAACATGCAACCTTAAGAGTTGGCGTTATTACGGGAACACCAGGAACGTGGACCAAAACTGAAGAAGAGCTGGCCTCTGCTTAATTTCGTTGGAGAGTTTGATTTCCAGTTGATAATAAAAATATAATATAATAATGATGATGATAATGACAATGATAGTGATAATAATGATAATAAATAATGATAATGGTAGCAATGATAATAATGATAATAAACATTTTTCTTCAAAAGATGCTTGATGGCAATACAGACATGTCAACAGTGAAGAGGAATAATCTGACTAAGGCAATAGTAGCCAGATATGTACGCATTCACCCAACTGCATGGCAAACTGATGTATGTCTTAGAGCTGAGTTTTATGGATGTCAAGGTAGGACGATACTTAGACACTTACAGCTCAGTGTCACTAGGATAACAACCAATAAGATCACATCTAAAGGCGAACATTTGCGGCGATCAGAAGAGAAATTGATTACAAGCCCCATAAAGAACTTATAATTCGATGAGCTTTACACGCGCCAGATGGCACACTGATGTTGCTGGTTGAACTATCGCAAACCTTTACCATACCTAGACATTTCTGCCTGGTCAGGTTCTGTGACATTATTCACAATAAAATGGTTTGGCGCCTTTAAAATATCCTTAACTCATTTAGTGACCAAATTAATCAGTTGTCGTTATACTATCACTTTAATAAAAAGCGCAAAGGCTAGTGAAGGCTTATCAAGAAGAGTAGGTAGACGGAAGCCCTTCCTTTAATTTTTGTTTGTATATTTTCATCATTTAGTGAAACCAACTATGCCACCAATAACATCAGAATCAACAACAACGAACGGAGTACCATCAACAAGTACTCGGGGCCTCACGACAACGAAGCATCCTCCGGTCACATCAGAGTCCACAACAACGAAAGGAGTACCATCAACAAGCACTCGGGCCCCCACGACAACCAAGCCTCTTACGGTCACATCAGAGTCAACAACAAGGAGAGGAGTACCACCAAGGAGCACTCGGGAACCCACGATAACCAAGACCCCTCCGGTCACATCAGAGTCAACAACAACGAGAGGAGTACCATCAACAAGCAACAAGGCCCCAATGACAACCAAGCCTTCCACGGTCAAGCCACCAGTGACGACAGTCAAGCCTCGACCACCAATCACCATTCCACTAAAACCCACGGGTAAAGAAACTCTCATTGGGGGGACCTTTAGATTTGTATACGAGTGCGAGCTTTCAAACCCACTGAGTTCGTTTGCTTTAAATAATTAATTTATCGCAGCAACTGTAAAATTAACGTCTCTTGGACAGCAACAGCAACAGCAACATGCAGACTTAGACAGCAACATGCAACCTTAAGAGTTAGCGTTGTTCTGAGGTAAACAGCTCGAAACTCCAAAGGCCTACTTGTACTTGTTCTCGTACTCAGGTTGTCACATCTGAAGGTCGTCATTACTATTTTTCAAAAAAAAAAAAAATAAACCGCTATTTTTTGGAATTTTTCTTTACCTTCCATTCCCGATTAAAACAGGCATGAAATGCGAGGACCGGCATCCAACGTGTCCAGAGTTCGCCAAGCAGGGACAGTGTTCTGCTAACCCAGGATGGATGGAAGAAAACTGCAAAAAGAGCTGTGGATCCAAGCGTTGTGACAAAGAACCCGTTAGACCTCTGGGTGAGTTTTTGTACGTATATTTAGTTTACAAAATACGAGGTATGTCAAGTGTCAAAATTGAATTTGCAGGACGAACTCGATTTTTAGGGGGAGAGAAAATGAGATTAACGAAACAATTGAATTACATCCCAGGAGTCCAGTCCTAACGTTTGGGCACTGTAGACGAGGTGTGTCTACTCAAATGTAACCTCACTGATAGTAATTTGACATGGTGCCATTTTTTGGTAATTTTAACTTATTCATAATGACGCTTCGCAGGGCCTCTGCGCTTGGTAGCTTTCCAGAACTGGGCTATTTTTGACCATGAAAGGTTGAAAGTTGCGTTATTATTCAATAAGTCTTAATATTTGCATGCTTTGTTACTTATCGCCACCACCAGCTCCTTGCTCCACCCCACTTGGAATTGGCTGGAATTTCAACTTACCAGACAGTGCGTTTACTGCTTCCTCATCACTTAACGTGGGTAAGTGAGCTTTGAGTTTCCCTGCTGAACAGGAACCTCTAACTACCCATTTCTGGTCTTGGAGACCTTGGCTTTAGTTTGCCTATACCCTTCTCTTCACCGTGGTTAAACGAGAGAAATTTTCAAAACCTATAAGCAAAGTTATACATCGTTGTCACTTTCACTGTTCAAAGTTTAATATATATTACCAATATGATGCTTATTTGTAAGAGTTTTTTAAGTGCACTGAAAAATCTTCAAGTGTTTAACAACTAAGACTGGTGTTATATGTCTCGATATCAGCGACATTTGTCAACATAATTTCACTCGGGTGCAAAGAGTCTTCAAACGAAAGGAAACTTATTTTCTGATAGGGGATGGGGACTGGGGGACGGGAAATGCAAAAGTGATCTACTTAATGATCTAATGATCTACGCAAGGGCAAATGAAATCCCTTAACTAAAACCATAAACGCCTCAGACGCGCGACCCCGTTCGAGTCCCTGTCTAGCTCAGGCACAGGCAGGTTGCCCCGCGCACTCACCAATAAATGAATTTCCCTTGTTATTTGAAACAACTTTTAGCAATTAATAATTTAGATTTTATCAGTCACAAATTTCTAAGGTGACTTGAGTCTCTTAAAAGTTGTTCACCAAACCAATTCTTTTTTGTCTGCATGTGTTAGTAATTTGGCCGTAGCTTAGTCAATAACCATGATAGATAGTAAGACAAAATGCCGGCGGTGTTTGAGTCGTCTGTTATTTAATTAGGGTATGTTAAAAAATGAGAAAATAGTTGTCACATTCTAATGTTTAACCCCAAGCGAAAAAAGGCATTTTGTCGCGTTTTTAACCGATTTTTTTTTTCTTTTTTGCTAGTTTGTTTTCAGTATTTGCACGAAAGTAATCGAGAGTGTCATAGATGTGGAAAAACCTGGTTATTTTTGTTTCTGTTACATAGTTTGTTTTAAGTATTTAGACGAAAATACTCGAGACAATCAAACGTGGACAAAACCTGGTTATTGTTCCTTTTACGTCTTTGTTTATTTTAGGTGCCGGATGGGACTGCGGTGCTCGCAATGCACGCATGTACTTTACTGATGATTTCAAAAATAAACGAGTGGGAGGCTGGTGCGCGGCTACTTCTGAAAATCAGTGGCTCCAAGTGGACCTGGGAACTAACAGATACATAACCGCTGTTGGAACTCAAGGTGTTTGAGACAGATGTTTATTGTATACTTTCCTATATGTTTATAATTTTACCTTTTGAAACTCAAGATTCTTAATAGAAGTTATTTATCGTAGGTGTTACTCTTTCTTCTTTTAAAATAAATAAATTTGATAGCCTGTTGCAGGCGCCGGTTCAGATCTCTTTGTACCGGCCCCACAATCTGAACGCCTGAAACAGGCTTAACACTGAGAGCAATGGTCACATTAGTTGCACTATTCTACACCCGGTTTCTTGTTTTTCAACTTTTGAGAAAACGCTGAACGAGCTTAGGTGTCACCTTACTTGGGATAAATGGCTATTTTAATTACAATACAGCAGCATTTCACCGTACAGTTAGGCCTGAAAATCTTTTTCAAAACTTATAATTTTTCATGATGACCAGAAACACTAAAATAGATTAAAAATGTCGCTAGACCAAAGTTTTAAGGTAGTGTCGTCTGCGAATACAGTCGTTTCTCCTCGGTCCTCACCGCTAGAAACGTTTCTTCTACGAAACGCGCCGTCCCTAGCGGCGAGGACCGAGGAGAGAAGGCTGTATTCGCAGGCTAGAGTAGCCTAGGCCTGTCACAGGCTCTCAAATAGCAAGGATGATCCGTAAGTGAGAGGCACGCGAAAATATGAGCGCGTCATCTCGTGCTTTCTCAATTTCGCGGGCCCGACTATCTCGGATAAAGCTAGAGGTAATGATGTCTTTTACTTTTTGCAAAGTTAGTAATTAAAGGACAAGGTCACCCAAGAAGGGAAGTGATTATTTTTTAATCATCTATAAAAACATCTTCTATTGTGTTTAGTTGGTAAATGACCATTCTCTAGGCCTTCAATGTTCATCCAATCCTAACGAGATACTTACCCAAATATTAGCTAAAATTCAGTATTTTGGCTCTCCATTTTGGATCATGTGTGACGCCATCCTGTCTAAATTGAAATTTGCGAGAAGCACAAGTAGCTGCAAAGTTTGGCATTGTTGTATTGAATCTTTGTTCTTTTTGTCAAGCAAAGTATGTCGGACAACGTTAAAGAAAAAATAAAATGGTTACGTGCCAAACTTTCGAGCAGTATGTCAATCATGTCTAACTAATTTAATTTCCAGGTCGGCACAACTATTACGAGCACGTGAAGTCGTTCAAGCTTGCCTTCAGTCAGGATGGAAATTCCTGGGACTTTGATTACCAAACGGTGAGATGTAGCCCTTCTTCTCCCCCCTCCCCTAACTTTTTGGACCCCTAAGCGCAAGAGAGGAGGGTTCTTAAAACTATGAACGAAGGGTTTTCTTTTCGCTGTCACAGTGATATGGGCATCCTTGCATTTTGGGCATCCCCATTCCCAAAACCCTAGTGATATTGACATCCCCTGTAACCCTAACCCTAACCCAAACCGCTGAGGTAATAGAGAAGGGGATGCCCATATCGCTAGGGTTTTGGAAATGGGGACGCCCATATCACTATAACAACGCTACTTCAGAATCGAGAAGAAACTGGGTCGAGTTAACTTTCGCAAAGACGTTTTTTTTTTTTCCAAAAAAAAGAAAAACAAGAAAAAAAAATTGCATTGTCTTGGCCTCCAACATGGTGTCCTTGTCACTTGGTTGCCACCAAGAATTGGTTCAACATTTTGCCAAGTGATTTTCTTGTAGACTACGAGCAGTCTCTCTTTTTTCTGTAGTCCGTCGAGCAAAACGCGGGACACGCAAATGGCCACGCGCGTGACTGATGGCGCGAGACGGGAGAGGCTGCCCTCGTTTCGCGCGTCTCGCGGCTTCGCCGCTCCCGCGGGCGTGCATTGCTCTCACTAAATCTGAAGAAAAAGAGAGACTGCTCGCAGTCTATTTTCATGAGTCTCATTTTCTCCACCCTTTTAGGTGTATTACGGCAACTGTGATCACTTTACACCAGTCATAAACATCTTGGACCGTAGCGTCACTGCAAGATACGTGCGATTTTACCCCGTTACCTACTACTATGTATGTATGAGAGTGGAGGTGTATGGATGTGATGCTTGATAACACAGGCTACCCAGTGAAACCACCTGCAAAAAAAGGGATCTCTTTATACTTATTCTTACAGTCTTACGTTCAACTTGGAAATAAACAATTACTTCTTTCCACCTTTAGTTTGTTTTCAGTTAAGCGAGCAGTCCTGTACTATCAACTCCATTTATAGCGGACTCTGTAGGGATCTTGAGTTAGTGTCGTAATAGCGGGAGTTTATTTCAGTCAAGCATCTCTGTTTTTGAAGGGGATTTAGCTGCTGTCCGTGTTATCGGGGTAACCGCGGGGGCGGGGTGTCCGCAAGGCGAGAGATGATTGTAGTCCTAACTTTACTTCTGTGAAGTATATGACCTTGTCAACGAGGGCCTCTGAGTTCAATGCGTTTTATGAAAATACCATATTCAAAACAGGCGATTACAATTTTCGTAAAATTTTATAATGAACGTTATCTGGACCTATTTAAGACTTGGTTGTAGCTTCCACTAGGGAGATATCGTTTTGCCTGAAAATTTCCTGCTGTAGTGTCGTGGACCACAAGTTACAGTGTAGTCCCACTTCACAAAACTGACATATATATGTATAACACTGGAGCGATTTACTTCTTTCACCGAATTTGGGAGACAGCGACAAGCCTTTACCCACGCTATATAGTTTAAGACCATAAACACGACAAAACAAACACACAGCTTCAAATGTGGAGACGATTGTTTAATTCCTCTCGCCATGAACAGTAGATACTTCTTATTCTACTGTACTGAAATTCTAAGTTACATTTCTATTGTTATTTACATGATTTGTTTACCGTTCTTGTCTCTTATGTACACCATTTTTATCGTTACAAAGTACGTCAACCCTACATAAACAGGACCCCACTTCCCCACCCCCCCCACCCTTCCAACCCTTACTCAACGAAATTTATTATCACCTATGGTTTCAGGGCCGCAAATAATTTCCTCCTAGAAAGGACACATGTCCTGATATAAAATCACCATTCAACAGAAAAGCTTCTGCCTAACACAGCTGGAAGCACTTCTGGGCGCCTTTTAAGAAAAACTATACATGTTAGGAGCGGCTAGAGATACTCCGACCAACACTCACAGCAAAATAGTTGTTTTGTGGCTAGGGAAATTCACATACGCTCACGGAAGACTTGATTCATCTTTGGTACTAACGTTTTCCGGACACCATGTCCGACCAGCGTTAAGATTTCGTCGGAATTGGACCAAGTTTAGTTGGCTATTGTTAGCAGCTCTGAAAAACTATTATTGTTATTAATAAGACAAAATATGAAAAAGAAATGGGAGACATAGACTTCACGTGACCTGCCGCCTACTGCTGAATTATTGGGCAGTTTGCAAACTGTCATATAGCAACTGTTGAATGCTTCTGGGCTACAAGTCTGCCAGGTCTCACACCTTAAGTGGGCAAGAAAAGCAATAACCTACGTACTAATTATATAAATTGCGCCACCACTGCTTTCTATAATTTCCTTCGCCAAAATGTGTGCAACTGATATATTTTCCCAAAAGAAAAGGAGATATTTTTCCAAACCCACTCTTCTTTATTTTCTTAACATCAATCACATCACCACAGTGACATCAGACAGTAAAAAACCAACCAGGACATCTGCCCAAAGTAAACTGACACTAATCTTAAAGTGGGTCGCTTTGATGTAAACGCAACTTGTCCAAGTTCCGGTATACATGAAAGAACTTTAACAAAACCCAAATTACATGTAAAACTTTGCATGTGTCTGATGCTAAGAAAGGGGGAGGTAGAAAAGACGCCTTTTCCAATGCGTAGGACCTTGTCTACTTAAAGGTCCCACGCCACACACAAGTGGCCTTTTTTTCTAATTTTACCCCTGAGTAGTAGCCAGCAAAAATAAGTTTTTGAAGTAAACTGCAGCTGCAATAGAAACAGTATTCCTCAAAGTGAAAGAACAAAGATTTAATGTGACACTGCTTCTACCAAAATGAATGTGCCCATCCCTGCAAATTCGGAAGCGGCACACAATTTTCAAATTTTACCGTTTTGGCCTGTACATGTATAATACTGAACAATAGCATTATATTAACTAGATTTGGTGGTGACACCACATTACATGTACAAGGTGCATTATACTACAGGTGTATAAAAATATCTCTGATAATCCTTTTGAAGTTAAGTACATTTTGTACTGGAATAAACATTCATGTACCCTAGGAAATCTCCCCACGCTTACAGTACACTGTAAGTTACTCAGCAGGAAGCAATAGTTAGCAAATTTTATCTGCAACAATTTCCTCATAGTTAGTACAAGATACTGGTTATGAAAGGCCGCAAACACCAAAGATAAAACAACAGTGCTGCAGTTTATGTTGGAAACTCCCTGATGCTGCACAATCCATCGTGTTCTGTTCACAACTATTGCGACATTTGGATTCGTCAGCAAGATCAAATAATAGGAATACTATGGAAGTTCCTGAACCATCAGGTCCACAAAAACATTACGTAGATCAAAGGAGTCTGACAGGCTTCATAACCACTCCACTCTACCAACTATGATTTGCTCCATAAATAATCCTCATTGGGAGCTGGTTAAATGAAGAAACCATTGTAGAAAACAAGATTTTGGGCAATACAAGCTGGCAAACAGATGACTATTATACTACAGGGCCGATTCATCTGAAGAAGGGTTAGTGCCAGTAGTGTAAATCCAGGTTCAGTTACAAGAGTTAACCATGCTATTCCAGGTTTCAATTCTGGTCATGAGATCACCACCAATGAATCAGTTCTGGACAGCTGGTCCAGTGGGAAACAGTGACGTAAAAAATGAAGTGACAAAGTTATAAGCTACAGTTGCCGCTGATGGTCCTGGGGGAGGGGGAGGAGGGGCCGGTGGTTCTGTAGTGTCATTGGCATCATCGCGTTCACTGTCTTCGACTGTATTCTCTTCTGTGTTACCATCAGTTGCATCATCTGGTGATCTGTTAGGGGCCTGCATGTAATACAGGATAATCATCAACTGCTTGTTGGATAATGTCAGAGATCAAAATAAATAAATTTGGAACTGTTGCCAGTCATGTTGACCGGCCAAAAAAACTTTCGCTTGGACATGACTCTCCTCAGGCTCTGACAGGTCAAAATGTTTGACATAACACAACAATAACTTGAATGTACTAGCTTAACAAGAAAAAATATATTTAATAATTAAAAAAAGGATGCTGTTCCTCTAAATGTAATGGTATGAAAATGTATTTTTTCTCGTTGCGTGTAACAATGTGTCCCATTATAATGAATTGCAAACCATAAGTTTGTTAGGACAAATGGTCATCTTTGCCAGACATTGTCTGTTGACTGGCTGTTATTTTGAGCCCAATAATGTAAACTCTACAATTGTGCATGATGCGCAACATGGTGTTCAACAAGATTTTCACTTATTTGACCTATGCCTGTACAATAAAGTTATTGAGAAAGCTGGAGTTTATCTTTAGCAAATGCTTACATTAGTATCTTGTCTTGGTTGTGGTTGAGGTTCTGCTGGTGCTTGAAGTGGAACTTGTTGCCGGTTGTTTTCTGAAAAAATAGATCACATTTATAATGTTCTTGTAACTGTAAATTAACATATCATCCCAACAGCGACACTGCTCTTTGTTTTTACGCATTAAGTATTCATGTGTTAAGATATACATGTACATGTACAGTAAGTATATTTCGTCACCCTAAAAGAACAATAACCTCATGTCTGATGGTATCAACACCAAACAATGAACACTATTTCTAAGAAGCCATAGGCAAATAAGTCTGCTCATATAACCTGCTCTTTTTTGAGATGGTGTCCATTAAAGGAATTGTGGTCAACTTAACAGCATTCATCTTTAGACTGTTTTTTAAATCTCATTTTCACTTGTTTACTTTTTTCTTTTTCCTTCTTTTTGTTGTAGTGTCGTCCACTCTCTCCTGTCGCTCATAACATTATTAGTATACTGTATACAGTGTGTAAGGTTGGTTAATGTTGACTCACTAATTAAGTTAATTTAAAAAACATTTCTGTAACAATCATTGATGGCTGACTTTGTGATTAGCACATCAGTAATGTCTAGTATAGAAGGTCTAACTAACTTCTACATACACTGTATTTTTAACAATTATTCCTCAAGCCTGAATGGGCTCTGAGTCAATAGCCCATGAGGCCGAAGGCTGAATGGGCTATTGACTCAGAGGCCATGAGGACGAGAGGAATATTGTTTTAGTAAAATCCAAGTAGTTGGTCAAAAATATCGAGACAACACAACTTAAAGCAAGACTTAAATCCTTTTTTGCCGCCAAAAATCCAGCACTTTTCGCTACTAGTGGGGTATAACATATATCCTAGTAGTAGCTCAACCAATCAGAACGCAGCATTGATAATAGACCACTCGTTGGATTTTACTTAATGTTAGTAGACTGTATATGTAGCAAAAAGTGTATTGAGGATCGCGCTTACCACCATTTCTTCGGAAGATATTAAGAATCCCAGACTGGTACAAATAGATTAACAGAAAGGTGACAACCAATAAGAGGAATCTACTAGTCGATGAGTAAAACCAAAATATGCTCATCAAGATTCCTATACGACAGAGGGTATAAATCTTGTCCAGCCAATCACGATTAGGATTATCCTCATCTTCATCATCAAACAAAGGCCCTGCATTGGCATTTGCTTGGGCATTATCATTAGCTTGTGGCTGGGGTGCCTGTGCAGGCTGAGCAGCAGCCTGTTGAGGAGGAGGGGGTGTCTGTGGAGGTGTTATTAAAGGTGCTTGAGGTACAGGGACATTTCCAGGAGGTTGGTACCAAGGGTAGAGCATTTGTGGATAACCACTGCAGATAGAAAAATAGAAACGCAAATGTATCATGTTAATCTTGGAAAATTAAAAGTTAATGATAGCGCCTCTTGTTACAGTGCACATAATACATGTATGTGAACTTTGTACATGACAAGAAGGTCTAACAGCTGCACATGTAGAACTCAGTGAAGGTGGTGGGGTCTAAGGACTATACAGTACAGTGTACCAACACAAAAATGTTTTTGCACAGCCTATGACATGTTGTGAATGGAAAAAAGACACCTTAGCAAAGTGTAAGGGAGCAGGCAAGATAATAATAACCTCATTTTTGGTTAAAATATAAAAAAAAATAATAACTAAATAAAATGCACTATCTTTGAGTGTCAATGTATTTAGCATGAAAGTACTAATTGGGGACACTATATTTATGTCTCCTAATGGAGACAGGACTGCCATTTTACGTGATGAAGGTCTTGCCACTTGCAGTGCAAAGGGAGTACTTTCATTTCTCAGTTATTTTAAGGCCCTGAGTACTAGTCGCGCCCCGGGAATTGAACCTATGACCTCCTGCTCTGCAGTCAAGTGCTGTACCGACTCAGCTAATCCTGCTGCAGTTAAATAATATAAAAAATACTATAATAATATAATATAAAAGTTCTCTCACAGGAACATGTATCAGTTTTTAAGGGTTTATGTATTGTTCTGAATAACCTTTGGAAAGTGTACTGTTACACTGTACATGTGTAGCTCAAGTTTTCCCTGTACATACAGGAACACATGTGGATTTAAACAGTCCCTGAAGACATCAGTTCTTCCAACAGATCCATGGAAAGCTGTACTGAGCAAAATGCCTTAAGGCAAAATAATATAGTTACTTAATAATACACTTACTAGTTTGGTGGAAAATACATGTTAGGTTGAGGTAATCTTCCTTGTGCCATCTGCTGAGCAAGCATCTGTTGCATCCAGTATGGCGGTGCCACAAATGGAGGCATAGCAAACCCTTGTCCTTGGACAGGAAAATTGTATGTGGCATGGGGCATTTGCTGGCTATGATTTATCAAATAGCAACAAAATAAATTCAATAACTAACCAATTCATTACATGTAGACATTTTTGAAGATGCATGTTGATTAGTTCTTAATAAAACAATGGAACCTTAAGTCATGCATGTTCATTGCTAAGTTAATATTCTTACCAAACAAATGCTTTCAAACTGTTGTGTCACATTCGTTTAGAGTGTGATGAATACTTCAGAGTGTGTGAGAAGGTCTCATAGACACTTGAAAGGTAGTATTATTTTACATGTTTCTAGGAAGTAGCATTACTTCCTTTTCAGCAAAGACAGACAAAACATGGCTGAAATTGTTTTCAAATTCCGGAAATAATGGAAACTCACTGGTATACAGGAAACTGAGGAAAGTTTGGTGTGTTAGGTCCTCTGTATCGCAGGCCATCAGTGTTAGTTTGGGACATAGCGGGTGTTGAGGAAGTTGAACTTGTTGAAGTGCTGCTACTGGTGTTTGGAACACTGGGCCCACTCTGAAATCAAAGTAAATTCTTGATCAAGAATTCAGGTCACATCAACTTACTATTATATTCAGGACATTCAGTAATGAAAAAGAGGATTATTAAAAGTTTTACGGTACTGCTATATCATTAAAGGTAGAGAATGATTGAAAGTACAAGTAGCATGAAGATGTGATCCCTGAAGTTAAAAAACTACGCACTCAAACAGGAACAATAAAATCTGATTAATTGTCGGCGACAAAAGGAGCCTGCAATCCTAATCTCCAGGTTGTTATTACACATGTGTCGCATGTATGTAGCAAGCTGCAAAGAAAGCCAGTTTCACAGCCTGCCATACGGGCAAACTGTAGCTAGTATGTACTAGCCCACACGTCATTTGAACTAGCCCCCAAACCCTTTTGATTAGCAGGATTGATTACAACCCTTCTGCAGTTTGAATTTCCCAAAAAACAGCACTTGCCCATCAGGCAAGTTAAGAACAAAAACCACTAGCCCGATAGCAAAATCCACTAGCCCTGGGCTATCGGAAGCGACTTTCTTTGCACGCCAGCATTCATTTGGACTTCCACTAAGAATGTACGGAATGCACAGAACACATTTTGATCACGCGCGTTCGGACCTTCTATTACTCGAAATCTGATCACGTGCATTTTTGACCATCTGTCACATAAAACTTGTGCAAAACACAGTACTAGAGCAAAAGTGTTTTGACCTTCAATCATTGTCGCCCGCACTCTGTAACCTTTGGTTATGACTAGTATAATAATAACTATTGGGCGTAACTGATTAGTAGGCTACAGGTGTACATGTAACCGCCGAGAAGATACAAGACATTTATAAAGTTTTCAGTTCAGTTCATATTATTACAAGCTATGCAACAAACGTTTTTGCTTCCACAGGCTTTATGTCTTACTTGTAGATCACATGAATCCTTGGGGTGAAAATTTTAAGCATGAGAAATAAAATGTTATCTGTGCATTCTATATGGGCATACTTACTGTTACTCGAGACTCTTTGTTTGACTTTGTTTCCACAGCCATTGGACAAACAAGATGCATAGTGTGCTGCTTGCCTTCCTCATGCTGTCAGCAAACAAACAAACAAACAAACTTTAACTTTCTTCTTGTTTTTGATTTCCAGCAGAGTTCTAATATACGGTTCTACATTGTACCTACATGTATCAAGTCTGCATCCAAAAACATCTGTGATGCAACAGTGCAAATAAAACCTTTTGAGAAAGTTATGTCATAGCTGTGCCAGACAGTAAGGAACATTATTTTATTAAATTCCTTTACTGCAGGGTGCAAAGAAAGTCAGTTTTACAGCTTGCCATTCAGGCTAGCTGTAGCCAGGCATGTACATGTACTAGCCCAAACATCACTTAAACTAGCCCTAAAAGCTTTTTGTTGAGCAGGTTTGAATACACAGTCCTTCTGTAATTTGAATTCTCAAAAAACTTCACTTGCCCATTGGGCAAGCTCAGAACAAGAGTCACTAGCCCGATAGCAATATCCTCTAGCCCCAGGCTATCGGAAAGTACTTTCTTTGCACGCTGTTTACTGGGACTACTTAGCGAACACCTGCTCCATACATGTATCTCTTACCAAAGCAAACAGAACTGCTTTTACTCCAGGATACAGAAGCCCACAAGCTGCTCCGCAAGCTTGAAAATCTACATGAATTTGAACCCTCCTGTCTGCTATATCCAAAGTAAGCAGCTATTCCCATTAGAAGCTATACAGTGTGGATTTTTCGATTGTTTCTACGCTTTCCTCGGCAACCTATCAAATTGTATTATCAATGACCTACCAAGGCTTATCCTAGCTACAGTAGGTTAGGGACCTGTATAGAATGGTAAACTCAACACTTTGGGAGACAGCGAGACCCAGGTTTCAACATTTGAGATTGTTAGGTTTATACAATATATACATGTATTATGGCAAAAATTAGCATTCAATTTGGTAAATAAAACAGCATTCTTTTGTTTTTTGTAGTTAACACTTAGTTTGAGGCACCCACACACTCTTTATGCTGCTAGTGCTCGCTCATAAAAATTGTTATTTGGGACAGCTCAAGTCTATTTTTTTTCAAATCAAACAGACAGCTTGAGCTCAACACATTTTTTGCCACGACATTTTAAGGAATGTATGCCTATTGAGCTTCTTTGCGGAAAATGCAAAATGTTTCAATCTTAAATCACTGGAAACAAATTATAACTTTGCAAATCAAGACAGAGGTCTTTATATATATTACTGAAATATGCTTATAAACCTGAACCTGACTAATTTTACGTTCGTTTACATGAATGCTTACTTACAACGCATGTTAGTCTTAACCTACACGAAGCAAATCATTCTATCTTAAATCACTAACTCCGCTTGAACATAGAACTAAAATGTGATTGAGTTTGCATGTGTGCTCAGCTGCTGGATAAAGCGTAGTCCTCGCTGAAGGAAGTTAAGAAAATATGGAGATTTTCTCAACTGTTTATTTACGTTTATCGAACATTGATTCTTACCTCTCGCAGCACATCTCTTAGAATTAAACTATCGTTGAGCAGCTGCCCCGAATAAATGAGTCTTTGATGCTGGCTTTCCTTTGAAAAAAGAAAAACAAGAAATCAGCATTTTCACCAACAATTAGTGGCTTGAAACGCAGTTATCAAACGGAAGTCAAAATCTCACCGGTTTTGTTGGATAAACGCTAGAAAGATGTCGCTTTAGTTGTTCTACCGACCACTCCAGTGCACAGTCTATTCTTAAATCGTCCACTTTTTGGTTAGGAGTCTTTACAACTAAAGTAACTGGTGAATCGAAAACCAAATTCGCCATTGCCTTTCTCTATACGCTGTTCTCGACGTCGGATGAGCTGGCGTTCTTCACAACAATTTCGTCACGTGATGTCGTGGCGGTGACTGGTTGGCCATCTGTTCCCGTCATTCAACAGGGGTACTGTTTGTTACGTAACACTTAATTGCTTATGACATCATCGAACAACCCATTGCACGTGATCGAGTTTGCGCCCTTGAACTCGGAGGCGAGGGGATTCTCGTGGTCACGCTTTGGAGCGTAAATTGTAGATTTTGGTCTCACTTAGGGTGTCACTATATTTGTCCATTTGGGTATCCCTTAGGGCTGCTGTGCATAAAGAAATTTACAAAAAATGCCCTTGACTAGCATGAATTTCAGACGATTACTTTAAAAAGTCGTTTCTTCTCCCTCAGTATCCACGACTCGATGTAATCGTCTGAAGTTCAGGCTACCATGACATTGACCACACAGAAATCTCCCTTCGAGTCAGTTTAACACTCTTATTCTTCGGCCCGGGGGTAGCCTGTGTACATAGGCTACCCAAGGGGGTACTCCCTTATATAAGCTATAGTGCCGCCCCATCGGGTAGGGTTTTTGCGCGGTTTTGGTCTGAAAACGGGTATACACTTTGCCCATTTTGGTCTGGAATCGGGTATGGTTTTTGAGGGAACTACGGGATTGTATGAACTTCTTTCAATTCCAAATGAGTAAGAAAGAAAGAAAAATATAAGAATTCCAAATGGATTTGAAGAATTTTTTGTTTGCGCTCTAATCTAAGGTTTATAATAAAATATATTTTTTTAATATTTAGAGATTGCATTCTTTTTTTGATATCTGAACAGGCCATTTGCACGATGACGACATTATACAACAACGACCAGAATACTTTAGGGTTTTACTTTCTTGTGCAAATTAGGGCTTTTGTTACTTTAAACCTCGCTGGGATTACCAAATTTAAATATGAAAGGGAAGACGAAAAGGATTCTGGTCGTAGTAGTGAAGTGACGCCATCGTGCAAATAGCTCATTTTCTCATGATTCTTTCATTTTGAAAGTAGTTCTTAATCGAAATAAGCTGGGCTAGAAATAGCAACCTCAGATTTTGGCTTTTTAGGTGTTTTACTTATTAAAGAAGCGCTGGAGTTAGTGTGGAGACCCAATAGCAGATGCATGGCTCCCAATCAGTGTTTAAACAAAAAGAATTAAACGAAACTTCGAATTCGTGGAATTTCTTATTTCGAAATTTCTTTGCGATGTTTTGCTCTCCTCACGACTGGAAACTCGGCTAATTTATCGTTATCTTTCTAATAAACCTGGGGGAGGGGGGAGCGCTTAATTTGTCCAGCCAGTGTCTGTTGATTAATGCACGATATAAGAAATCGAAAGGTATTCAGCGATACTACTAGTATTCATTCTTACAGCACTCGGTCTTCCCCCATCAAACAACTTCTATATTAAGAAATCTAAGCTAGACTTCCAAAAGAGAGTTTTTTCAAGAGTAGGAGCTAAAAATTTGGAATGAACTTCAAGCATCATTCATCAGAGAGAGCTCCCAAAAAAAACGCTTCAAAACGAAATTTCAATCTTTTCCTTGTTGATATCTTAATAAAACATGATGACTATATTGATATTCCCCAAATTACCTCTGCTGATCTGAAAACGCATAAATAGAACTTTTCAAAGTTTCTTCATTCAGAGGTACTTAATGAAACTGAACTTGTAAGGGACGGACCATTAGAAAAGTTATGGTGGGGGGGAGGGGAATTTTCGAGCCGCAGGCATTTTTTTTCGTCATCAAATTCCTCGTATGAATTTTTTTTAGGCCATAGCATGAATATTTTTTAGAATTAATTGGCATGCATGAATTTTTTTAAATTTAATTTTCCCTTGCGCGAATATTTTTTTTGTACTTCGCCCGTCCCCCCCCCCTTCATAAGTTTTGTAAATTTAGTAAATATTCTCATTGTAATGTTGTAGTGTGACTGTTCCGCTCAGATTTGCAACTGCTATTTGCGAACCAGTCTCATTTACATTTACATTTAGGTCTGTCACTCAATTCTGAGCATTTTAGACAGCTCTAAAAAAAAGTGACTGAAATGGCGCTTATGAGTGCACAGTAATAAAAGTGTTAATAAATGTTTGAAATTGCATTTTTAAAAGCATCCAGTGAATTGGACAATTCTATTTTCCTTGGCAGTTTATCCATTCTGTGATTGTCCTTGGGTAGAAGGAATACTTGCAGTAATCCCGAATGGCTGTCGGCTGTGTGTGAGAGTACTCTAAGGAGCGAGTTGAGTACGAATGGCCAGTGGATTGTAGTTTGGCATCTTCGTGAGAGATTAGCCTGTATCGCATTTTACACAGCATAGATAGGCGTGCTGTGGTTCTTTGTGTTGTGTTGTATATTTGCAAATATTTCTTCAAATAAAGTTGGCTAAGTTGAAGTTAAAGGAGGCCGGGAGTTGGGGGATTATTGGAGACGGAAAACGTGTATTAAAAACTGGAGAGGCAACCCTTAGTAATTCATTTTATTTCATAAACAGTATTACTGAATAGTCAGTGAACAATATTGGGTGAAAACCACAGTGATTCTTTACTTGTAATGTAAAATGAGTTTTGCAAGAAAACTAGAGCTACCGTACCCACTACACTGAGATTGACAACCTGCTTGAAAACAAAACTAAAATGGAAATTCTTTTCCAGTCGTCTACTGCGTATTCACGATACATCGAATGGTATGATTTGCTTACATCAGAGGAGGCCCTGGCCGTAGTGCAAAGCCACCCTCCCTCAACCCCTCCTTCCGCCACTCCCACACACCTGCCGCGTGAAAAGAAAATGAGACTCCGGGAACGAGAATGCTGCACGTCCCATGAAGCATGAGAGGATGGGGACTAGAGATACCCTGGGAACGAGGTTGATTTAGAGCATAATGACTATGACGTCATGTACTTATATAAGATGCAGCATGAGAAACTACTATTTTACACCAGTTTGAGTTTCTGTTTCTGGGTCAGGAGCCGATTCTGTTTTGTGTTCCTTGTTCGGGGTTTTGTATTTCCGTTTAGAGATTTATCTTTCTGTTTTGGGTTTTGGGTTTTCGATTTTGCTTGTATGCTTTTTTTTTTAGGGTTTTGCACGTCTATTTCCGGGTTTTGAATGTTTGTTTTGCACTACGGGCATCAAGGAAACCTTTCAGTTTTTTTAAAATTGTACGATTCTATTTTGTATTTTGTGATTCTGGTTTTCACCTTGTGCTTCCGTTTCGGAATCTGTGTTTCTGTTTTGGGTTTTGGTTTTGGTTTTTGGGTTTTGTGGTATGTATTTTCCTTTTCGGCCACCATATATTTGACCGCCGTTTCTGTGTATGTCTATCCACTATAGGAAACTTAACTTGGTTAAGAATTTCTTGACAATTCAGATAGGAAAAAGGCTCAATTATCTCAGAATTTAAGCAGGTATCTCATATGTCATATGTGCTTTATTTTTTGCTTCTCTTGTTTAACTTAAACGTAACTTGTGATTTAGACCAGTTTACGACAGTCAATCATAGTATATGTTGCTATGTTTAGTTAAGCGTCCCGACGCGAATTCTGTTTCAGTCCATGGTGAAGGCGAATGTGATGGACCAATGTCCATACAATAGGGAAAGGCCAGAAAAGAGGAATACGTACTCTGCTCGTCACTTTTTTTGCCTTATTACTTATTATATAAATGATGTCTTTTTATAATTTCAAATGCGTTTTCGTTGTTATACCACTGACAAGGTGATGGGCATGTTGGATCTTAAACAGAGTTTGCATGTTAAGCTTTGAAAGTTTGCTTGCATCACCTTTTCTTGTAAAAAGCCTCTTACACAGTAGATATTAGAATTGTTAATGTTTTGTGTAAGTGATTTCGTTGTTTATCTTTACACATCTTTAATACACGTAAAATTGTCATTCTTTCAGGAAGAGATAGATACAGGAAAATTACACATCTCATTCAGAGGTACATTTGTCCAGGTGCAAGGTTCCAGATCCTTAATGCGGTTTCCTGAGTCCCGAGTCTTTCATCTAGAACTGGATGGTAAGTTTTTAATCAGGGACCGCGGAGCAAGTTGAAAAGTGGGAGGGCTGACAATTGAAAATAATTTTTTCATATTGAAAATCGAAAAAAGGAATAAAATCATAGTATTTGATTTGTTTCTGTCGCGTGACTTTGCATACTTTATTCAGTATTTGTTGCTCTTTATAGGTCGGCATTAGTGAAGATACCGAAATTCTTCATACGATTTTCATTCCGTCCAGCAAATGTGTTTGCGATCTGAATCTCGTCCAAGCTTTCCGTGAATTTCTTATGACAATTAAGTAATGTCAAGTTGCTGAATCGCTGCTGTTTCTAACTATGGTCGTTCACTGTTCAAGTAATGTAATTCTTCTTGCCATCGAATATTTCATTGATTCGAAAGGTGAAAGACAAAATATAAAACTTTTATCAACTCAAAACAACTACTCACCTTCGTTTGGCTTGAAAAAGCTGGTAATTTTCTTCATTTCGTCTGATAAAACTGATAAAAATACTCTGCCGGAGCTGGAAGTACAAAACACTCTGCCGAACGAAGCGAAGGGGTTGCCAAGGCATGGCGTTTGATCAAGGGGCAAGTCGGCCCCAGGGCACAATTACCGCGAAAAGCACAGAAGCCCCACAAAATGCCTGGCGTTTGAAATTAAAGAAAATACAGAGAATATAGCGGAATATAGACGGAAAAAAACTTGTTTCAAGTCTTTTTGTTATTTTAATTATTTTTCTTTTTAGCGCAAAAAGTGGGAGCGGGGGCGCAAAAAAGTGGTGGGGCCGCGGCCCTACCAGCCCCTCCCCCTCCGCGGTCCCTGTTAATAATCAAAATTTTTTCTGAAAGAAGAGGTTGTAGTGGTTTTATGCTGAACGTGACTGAGTAGATATGTAATTCGTAATATCACATTTCTCTTTCCAGTGAGGGAGTGTCCTAGCACTATGTAAATTCCTAAGTCAGGAAATCACGGCATAAGGCGCTATTATTGTTCGGTATAAATCACATAAGAAGAAAACTTAGCTGTACAAAGCTAGGAAACACATGATCTTAAAAGTCAGTGAGTTTAAATCAGTATT